GGGAAAAGTGATGATGCTGTCCAGCAAGCACCAGGGGGTGAGTTGCTGAATCTTGCCACATCACCCTGGCCTCTGGCTGTTTTGTCGCCGGTGACTAATGGGCCCCACCCTTGCTCCCATCAGCTGATTCAGAATCAATACAGGAGGAGACAATGGTTGTGGGTTCCAGGGATCCTCAAAGTCTTAGAGAGACCAGCAGAGCAAGCATGTCTGAGGGGTCTGGTGGACTGCAGCTACCCCCACCCCACCCTTACTACATGGACATGAAGTCTTTTTGGGAGCTACTGCTTTGAATTCAAATTGTCTGGATGTGATGGAGGTGAACTAAAATCCTGGAAAGTGCTCAGGGTGGCTACAGCCTCTGAACCCCAGGGTTTGGCCTTCTGGTGCTGGAGCTTTACGATCTCCTTGCTCAGTAGCAATTAGCCCCTGGGAGAATCACCCTCGGGTGTGAACTCACAAGATGTTGTCATCCCAGAAAGTAATGGAATGATTTCTACTGGCAGCATGGTTGCACGGTGGAGGGGGTAAGTGGACGCCATAGTGGGCTCATTAACTGTTGAGCACTAAGTGTGTGTGTTCATCATCACGTTAGGCAACAAATATGAAATGCCAACTGTGTGCTCATTTGCATGGGTGCACTAAGAATAGGAGGTGCAAATTAGGCTCCTAAGACTACAAAGTCCCTGCCCTCAAGGAACTTGCCTCTGGAGGGCAAGGTCGGAGGCAGTCGGGGGTGACACCAAGAACAAGCTTGAAATATATGTTAAGAAAAAAAAAAAAAAGAAGAAGAAGAAGGTAGCGGGAGGGGAAGAATGAAGCGGGGGAAATCGGAGGGGTAGACGAACCATGAGAGACGATGGACTCTGAAAAACAAACTGAGGGTTCTAGAGGGGAGGGGGGTGGGAGGATGGGTTAGCCTGGTGGTGGGTATTGAGGAGGGCACATTCTGCATGGAGCACTGGTGTTATGCACAAACAATGAATCATGGAACACTTCATCTAAAACTAATGATGTAATGTATGGGGATTAACATAAGAATAAAATTAAAAAAAAAAAAAAAAAAAAAGAACAAGCTTGAACTCTGGACTCTGTCCCAGGGCCGAATTCTTACTTGCTTAACCTCAACAAACCTGTTTATCCATCTGCAATATGGAATCATTGCTACCTCACAAGAGCTGCTGTGAAATGAATGCGAAAATTGTGATGAGAGGTTATTGTGAATCCTTAAAAGTGCACATTCATTGTGGAAAACAGACAACACAGGACTAAAACTTTATGCACCTTTTCCCAAGATATTAGCCTCTGAAACATGCCTTTACTGGAGTAGCTATAATTAGGAAAACACATCCATGCACAAGACACTATCCCGGGCTTCAAGTATCACAGAAAGATGGCAGACGAAGGAGCTGGTTTCCTGGATGCTCCCGAGGGGCTGGGTGCAGGCAGTGGGAAGACCCCACTGCCCCTGGCAAAGTGGTCAAAATGAGTGTGGGGCTGAGGTGAAGAGAAGGAAGAGAGAAGTCCCTGGGAGGTACCAGCAAGCCATTAGGATGAGAACTCCGTCTGAATCTCTCCGTGTACTGTGTGGTTTAAAAACCTACAAGCCAAGCTCTATTCCCGACCCTCCTCTTAAAGCAGCCTCAGGTTCTGGGAGTTTGAAGGATGTGGTGCCCCAAACCACAGGCTGGTTAAAGGCTCCCCTATCCCTGGGTCAGGTGTGGGAAAGGCCCCTTCTGAAGGGAGGTGTCCAGAACGTGCTCAGGGATCCTGAGGCCCTGGGGACAATGGGGGAAGGTTCCAGGGAGGTGGAAGTTCTTTTATTCAGCTGACTGGCTCTCTGTTAGGCTGTTAAAATGCCGAAATCAAGCAGACAGGTCCTCCTGTCCTCCAGATAATCCGAGCACATGGCAACACAACCTGGGGCAGAGACAGAGGAACGTTAAGGCTTGTGAAAACAATGAGGGGCCATTAAGTCAGTCTGAGGTAATGGGAGGAAAGCAATCTCCAAAGAGGAACTCCTGAGGGAGTTGAGGTCACGCCCGTGTGGCCAGGGACATGAGCCGGAGGATTTCTGGGGCCAAGCAGGGAATGGGATAGCCCAAGAGGGCCCCTGGCTGATGAACTGCAGCTTTTCCTCCACGGAGCACAAGCAAGGAAACACTCCCCTGTAGGAACAGCACACGCCCTCAGGCAGGGCAGTAGCGTATGAAGAATATTCCAAATCAAGGCAGAAGAGCACAGTGCAGGGCCTCCCATGCTTTGGTATCTGAATCCCTGAGAGCTAATAAAGAACACAGAGGCCCAGGCCTGCCAAAGCAGGATAGGACCTGGGACTTGGTATTTGTACCCAGGTCCTGGGTGATTCTGACACCTGCCAGAGGCTGGGAACCAAGAACATGAGCTCTGGACACAGACTCCATGGATTTGAATCCCAGCTCAGCCACACGCCTCCTCGGCGACTCTGGCAATGCTTGTGATATGGACGTTCTAAGTGTACATATCTCAGAGCTGCTGGGAGGGTGGACTGAGCTGTTACCAGAACAGCACGGAGAACGGTGTCTGGACTGGAAGTTGCACTCTGGGAATGATACCCATTATTCTGACCTGTTTCAGCTGTAGCAGAAAGGTGCCTCTAGAGGAAGACAAAAAATTTAAAGGAAGGGATTTGAGGGTAAAACAGGATTATTTGATACATTTAACCGAGATTTTTACAAAAGCAAACAGAAAATCCTACTCGATTAGCTAGCCTATGCTACCAGCCAGTGAGCAGTTTGAGACGTTTAAGCCAGAAGCTGAGTACCCATGTTGTAAAGAGAGCATCCACAAGAGGAGGGAAAGCTCCATCAGTTTATTAGAGAAAGCTGGGGTGCTCAGCACCCCCACCTCCCCTGGGCTTCCTTCCTAACCTGTCAGCTTGATCCTGGGGCGTGACGGAAGAATGATCAAGGTGTGAATGGCTTCCATATGGGTGCCCTGGCTGCAGCTATTCTGTGGGATACCTGGAAGAACTTGAAGGTGAGACTGGAGAGGCAGTAATCAGGATCCAGATACCGGTTAATATGCAGGGCTGTTTCCACAAATCCAGAACTTCAAGAACTCTCAGACATACTTGGCTGAACCCTGCGAACTCACAATACTCACTGTATTTCATTTCTGATGGGTTAAGGAGAGCTTGGCTTAGGTTAGTGAACTTGAAACTGCAGGCAAAAAATCAAGTGTGGTTAACAAGGTAAATGTTAGATGTGGGCCAAGAGGACTCCTTCTGGGGGACCTGTCCTGGCCTCCTCCGGCTATGTCCCTCTCCATGAGGCACAGGATTTGCAGGACCAGGGAAATGGGGACATCCAGCGCTTGTGTCCCCCCTCTCACCTACCAGACAAGTTCAGGTACCCATCTTAGACCTTGGAATCCCTGTCCAAAATGACCCAAGCCTGCCTCCAAGGCCTACGGAAGGAGCCTTTCCCCTGGGGCCATTTTCACAAAGACGGTGCTGCCCCATGGTGCACACCCTAAGGCCCAAGTGCTGAGTGGCCAAGAAGTGGTGGTTTGCAATATGGTGACACTTGGGAGGTGTGTGCTGGGGTTTCCCTTGTAATGTGGGAAAGAACCAGGTGGCAAGAGAAGAGGCCTAGACCACAGGATGGCCAGCTATGACACCACACTGTGGCACAGACCTGACTCAGAATTCTCAATTTAAACTTGGCCTTCCAGAATGGTATGTCGCGGTTAGGAGGATGGAACGTATGTGGGCTCAGCTTGATTTTTTTTAACCTTGAAATATTAAGACATGGCGCATGGGTCTCCATTTGTATTCCTGCCTCTGGCTTTTACAAATGTTGGGGATGTGCCTGATGGCTAAAGGTATGTACCAGATAGGCCTCAATTGAAATATTGGAGTGTGCCAATTATTACATGCCTTGGGCAATTTACTTGAACTCTCTAATAATATTGATGTTAAGGCCTTTCAATTGCAAGTAAGAATGTCCCAATTCAAACAGACTTCATCATAAATAGGAATTTATTGGTTCTTATAACTGACAAGTCCAGTGGCAAACACCTCAGGCGTGTCTGGATCCGGCAGCCTCACCAGCATCCTCAGCACGTGGTCTCTGCTTCCCTGTGTTAGCTTCCTTCTTGGGCAGGACTACCCATTGTAATAAGCCTACATCCTACTTACCAAGCAATCCCCACAGAAAATTAAAGCTATCACTTTTCTAAAGATCTGGCAAAGTCCAGGGACCTGATGATTGGTTATAAGCCTACCATGAAGGGTCTCAGTCTCTCTCCTCTTAAGTCATGTGGATTGTGGATTAAGAGTCAGGGAAGTGTAGTTCACCAAACAAAAATTAAGATGCGGTTGCTGGGAGAACAACTGAGGCAAAAACCATAGTGGGTTGGTGGGGATTAAATGCTTAGCACTCAAGTTAGCCGCTACTAACACGATCGAGAAAACGCGGATGGACTCAAATCGGGTGTGCGTGTGGAAAATGGAAACACTCATTTTCCAAGCGCCCCAAAATGGAGATTTGGAAATGCCCTGACAAGCTTAGAAGACACACTGGACTTGCGTGTAGGAATCATGCCTTTGGTTGCTGTGGTCGATCCTGCAGTGCCAACCCGTGCCCATCAGCACACCTCTGCCTGAAGAGCTGGGTGTGAAACCAAGCCATGCTCGCCAAGAAGACGCCTCTGCAATTGTGTAGAGAAGTACATGAACCCCCAAATTATTATGTTACTAGATCTGTGGCCAATTTGGGGCAATGTTCAGTCTATCTAACCTGAGATAATCTACTATCACTGATGACTCATCACGACAGTATGTGTTTCCTACTCACCACCTGTAATCTCCAATTACAGGACAATCTTGAATAGGAGGAGCCTTCTTACTTTGATGGAAATTGACCAAGACTATCAATAGGGCTTTAAATGTGCACCTTTGTGGTTTAAGTATTGTGTTCTATTTTTGATGACTGATAAAAATAGGCTATATACCACCATTGAAAATATATTCCCGGCCTTTTATTTTGAAAAATTGCAAACCCACAGAAGTTGAGATAGTAATACTAAAATGTTAATGCTGCCTTCACACAGAGTTTTAATCAAAAACACGCGGCGGCCTCTGCTCTAGGTTAATATCCAGATACCTTCTCCATGCGAAGCAGCCTCAACATTAGTGAGAGGAGCGGTGTCCTCAGGAAGTCTGTGACGACTTTTTTGTAGGGCTTCACTCATCTCATTAGATACTCACGGCCCTGCAAGGCCCTCAGAACAGGATTTATTCCCATTTTACAGAGGAGGAAACAAACTCAGACGCCCAGTGATCTATCTGCTCAAGGTCTCAAGTTAAGTGACCCGGCCAAACCTGAAGCCAAAGACGTCTGACTTCAGTAACTCAACATACTACGGTCACTTGCCTCCCGGATACCCAGTGAAGAGTAAAGCCAGAGCCAAACAGATATGCAAAGCAGTGTTTTAGCCTCATTTTTCTGACAACCTGAAAGCAACTGTTCACCGGGACCCATGTGCATAGCATTATTAACCAGAAGTCTGTTATCAAAAGCATAAAACCACAATGGAAATTGAGTGGGATGATGCACACAGAGGGTATCAAATGTCTGCTAACTGCCCCCCCGATTTGACTTCAATATTTATTGAGTGCTTACTCTGTCCCTGGTATTGTGCTTGGGGATACAGAGCAAATAAGACAAAGATTCTGCCCCTGTGGAGCTCACATTTCTGTAGCTTAATGAACAATCCAGAAGCTGCCAGTGAGAGATTGGTGGGCGGCATCTGGCCCACGTTAGTGTTCTGTTTGGTCCACAGTGTTTAATTTTTGTTTTTATAATAAATCGCCAACTTCTAGCTTCTCTCAAACAAGCAACTTCTGCTGGATTCCTAAATAATAAGTCGCAGCCACCCCTACCCCTCACCCCGGACACCTGCCCTCTAGAGATCACTTCAGTTTCCCCCCATTTTCCACCATCTTACACCCAGGCCATTGTGGCCCCACGCATGCATTTGCATTTTCCCCTTGACATCCATAAGCATTTCAGCCGAAACCCCTGGAGCAAACATATATCCAAACAAGATGATTTCAGATAGCATTAGGTCACTACAAAATAAATAAAGTAAGCTAATGTGACAGGTGTGGTATGATTGGTGGAAAAGGCTACTTCAGACTGGGTGGTCAGGGAGGCTCTCTCTGAAGTGTAATTGAAAGGGAGACCTGAATAATGACAAGCACGACAAGTCTGCCAACAGAAAAGAAAAAGGCTTCCAAGCAGAGGGAAACGCACAAGCACAGCTTCCGCCTGAGGCAGGACAGAACTTGGCTTGGTCAAATCCGTAACAGCAAGGTTGGGGTGGCTAGGAGAGCGGTCACGAGATCACAGAGGAAGGAAGCCAGATTACACAGGACCTTGTAGGCCATGATGAGAATTTTGGATTTTATTCCAAGTGCAATGGGAAGCCTCTGGAAGGTTTTTGCTTGGGAACAATGTGATCTGGTTTACATTTTCAAAAATCACTCTGCTACGTAGAGAGCGACTTAACGAGGCGAGAGAGGAAGCAGGGGGATCAGTGAGGAAGCTACCTTATCACAGTCCAGTAGGTGACAGTGGCTCGGACCAGGATGGTAACAGAAAAGATGGAGAGAAGCAGATTCAGGTATATCCTGAGTCTAACCAAAAGAATTTTCTGATGGAGTGGATGGTAGGAGTGGGAGCATACCGGAGGGATTAATGAAAAAGGGAGTCATTAGGGGTAACTTCAAGGTTGTGCCTTGTTCAAACATTTATGAGTTGGGGATGTCTAGGGGTGGCCCTGATTTTAGGGAGAGAGACAGCAAGAATGTGATTTCAGAGGAATACATTTTGCCAAGATTCAAGTCTCCCTGGATCCTCATTTTCCTTCTCCCACATTCAAGCAGTCTCAAATCCAAAACGTTTGAACTTTGAAATGCCTCATCTCTTACCAACTCTATCCCTTCAATTTCAAATCCATCGCCTACATCCTGATTCAATCCTCTCTCTTGCCTTGACTTTTACAGCAGCGTCTATAGCTATGAATTAACTAGCAAAAAGCACTTAACAGCCACATGTCCCTCTCTCCCACCAGCCATCTCTGATGGCAGCGATCATGTCTTGTTCGTATTTATCTCCAGTGCCTCGTGCAGTGCTGAGCACAGAGCAGGCACCGAAATACCTGACAAACTGAAAAGAGATCCCCTTAAAGAGGATATCACCTTGAAGACAGGAGTCCAATCTTGGATTCCTATGATTCCTCTACCCAACTTAAAGCAGAACCAGATACAACATGTATGATCAAGTTCCAGAAACTTCGCCTTCCCAAGAGATGTATTTCTTCCCCTTTAATTTAGTTTGAAACTACACCGAGTCCCACTTTTACCCGGTAGTTAGTGAGATTGGCCGACAGACAACATATATTACTACTCTTTTCCACTTTTCTTCCAAATCTAGGGACTTTATACGTGCATACCTTCACAATACCTTTCTAATAAGCAGGTCAAGAAAAAAATCATTCTCTATTTTCAAATTAAAAAAACTGAGGCACAGGGGCGCCTGGGTGGCTCAGTTGGTTAAGCGACTGCCTTCGGCTCAGGTCATGATCCTGGAGTCCCTGGATCGAGTCCCGCATCGGGCTCCCTGCTCAGCAGGGAGCCTGCTTCTGCCTCTGACCCTCCCCCCTCTCGTGTGCTCTCTCTCTCTCATTCTCTCTGTCTCAAATAAATTAAAAAAATCTTAAAAAAAAAAACCAAAAAACTGAGGCACAGAATGGAATCCCTTAATTCCTTTTCGATAGAGTTAGGAGCTTCGCCTGGATTAAGACTAGCCCTTCCCTGACACCACACGACAGTTCTGTCACTGAATGGTATCCCAGGCTCCCAACCCTGCCAACACTGCTGGTTAGTACTCAGGTGTCCCCTAGGTTTTGCCTCCACAATTACAAACTCCTTTGGGTACGAGGGTGTGTTGCCACAAGGTCAAGGCCATGTCCTCTCTCTCTTCAATTTACTCTTTCCCTCCGTGCCTGGTGAAGACAGATTCCATCCCTTGGGCCCAGGAGAAAGAGAAGCACCTTGGTTATTAGACTGGGAGGTCAAGTAAGGCCAGGAGTCACAACAGGCAAGAAGAGAGAGAGAGATCAAAGTAAGCAAGAATAGTTTCAATGGGGAAAAGGGAGAGAGGAGCCACCACCGAGAAAATCAGAATACGCCTTTCAAAAGGTTTCCAGCTGGGGAGTAGCTGGGAAGAAAAGTGGCAGCCGTGCTGGCGGCAGCATGCCAGACCCTTCCTGCCAGACCCTCCCAGAGTCATTTCTTCAAGGCACCCAGGCCTCTCAGCGCCTCCTGGGCCTGGGTCAGCTGCTGCTGCAGCCTCTGCCGGGTGCTCTCGTTGGAGGCCCGCTTCAGGAGGCCCTGCATTTCCTCCACCACTGCCCGGTGGCCAGGGGTGTTGTGGAAAAGCCGCACTGCGCGGTCCCCACAGGAGGCCAGAAGCCGGCCGGTGATGTCAAAGGACAAGTCAGCGATACACTCCCCATGGACCTGCTCAAAGCACTCTTCCTTCTCACCCCGCCGGGTGTTGTAGAGATGAATACTGCTGCCACTGGCCAAGGCCAAGACCTGGGCGTCAGGGGAGAGTGCCAGGCGGCATGGCATGGTGCTCGCCTCTCCAAAGCAGCCTGTCCTCAGCAAGTAGGGATCCTGCTGCTTCTTGTATTCCACATCTGTGTCCCACAGTTTCCACGTACCGTCCTTGGAGACCGAGGCCATCCTGCAGCATGGAAAATCACGGCTCTAGCCCCAACACACCCTGGGCAGGGAGGGCACTGGGACGGCATGAGGGGTTCCAGCTAGGAAGCCAACTGCACCACTGGGCCTACTTCCTGCTGAAGGCCAGGCACTCTACCTACTGCAGAGCTGCTACAGAGATAGGCAAAAGGGCCCCGGTTGCCAAGAGGGGCTGAGAGCCACCGGTAAGACGTCAGAGAGGATGCACTCACCTGCGGGAGTCATTGGAGAAAGCGAAGAAGTGGACGGCTGCAGAGTGCCCCTTCAGTTCAAAGGCTCGCACAACCTCCTGGAAGTCGCTTTTTTTCCCAAAGCAGATTTCCCAAACTTTTACATCTGGGGTGAAGCCACACGAGGCCACAAACCTGCCACACAACCAGGTTCCTTTACAACTTAATTTTAAGAGCATCTCATTTCTGCCAACCCACTAAACCTCATTCCTGAGTAAGTTAATAATCATATGTGTAAATAACGCTGTGCCTTTTAAAACCACTTTTATACACAGGACCTCAGTTCATCCTCATGACCACGCTATAAGATACATAATACGCCCACCCCAGCCTTTTAAAAACTATAGATGAAGAGAGACTAAGGACTTGGATCTAGGCATCCAGATTCCACATCGTATGCTCTTTCCACTATTTGAAATTGGCTCTCTGCTCTGTCCCTGGCCACAACTTCTGCCCATCCCAGATGCCAAGTCCCTCCTTCCTCACCTGCTACAGGGGGAGATAGCAGCATGGGTATTGTTCATCTGGTTGGTGTTGATGGTAGACAGCACACGACCTTTCAGATTCCAGATGAGGATAGTCGTGTCACCGGAAGCAGTCATGATGAACTTCCCTGAGAGGGGAGGGGAGGGTGACATGAACTGAGGTCAATAACCTGACCAAGTCTCATTCTCTAAGGAGACACTTACAATGGCCTCTGCTGCCTCAAATATCCATGCTCCTCTCCTAAGCCAAGGGTCCCCACAGATAAGGATTTTGCTCAAGACTGCGGGTCTTACCTGCCTCCCCTGGGGACCTGCTGTGGCTCTGGGACTCCAGGGGAGCCCAGAGCCAGAGCCCCTTTGTCATACTAGGTCTAGCATAACTCTCAGGCAGCGTTAACTCATTCAGCAAATAACTGGTGCTACTTCTTCTAGTCTTAGGTAAGCTCCACTCTCTGAATGCCTCTTACCTGTGTCCGCAATGCCAATGTTGATGATGGGTGCCTTGTGCTTTTTAGGAAAGTCCTCTGGGTTGGCTGTGAAGGTATAGCCCCCATCCTCTCGCTTGGTCATCTTGAAGACACGAAGGGTGTCTCCATTGGCCAGCCAGATGATGAAGGCTCTAGAGACAGGTACCAGACAAGGCACTCGTTCGTTTGGACATGGAAGCCTATGTGTGCCAGTTCCCATGCTAGGCTCTGAGGAAAATCATGGGTCTTCCTTCATGCCCCAGTCCAGCCCTGCAACTTAACCCCTTGGTTCAAAACCTCTTAATACACTTTAGAAGATAGGACTCTCATAGCTTTGGCTCCTCCTGTGTCTCTCTAGAGTTTAGAAAACCATTATAACAGCTTCCAAGATGAATCTGGAGCCAGACTTTGTTTGGTACTTCCCAAGTAGGAACACATCTTCCTCTCTCTGCTTCCCTGCTGTGCAAAATGCAGAGACCTCCAGGGAGCCCCAGGCACTGCTCAAGCTGTCCAGATAGTCTTTCTGCCACCCCCAGGGAGATCCAGGGTCCCCCCTCGCTATTCCAAGTCAGGTATGGGAAGGACATAAGCCTGGAGCTGGGCTTCTGCAGGCAAAGCTGAGTCCCACCTGCAGTCAGGGCTGAAGCGCACCAGGGTGGCATGGTCCAGCTCCACATTGGCTCTCATGCTGCGATGTTCCCGCTGCAGGAAGTCCTTGGTACTCCAGATGCGGACGGTGCGATCATCTGCACAGGTGGCCAGGTACTTGCCATTGCTGCTAAAGTCCATGCAAGATATGTTCCCACTGTGGCTCTAAGGGAAGGGTTGCAGGAAGTATGAACAGGGACCCCTTGGGCAGATGGGGTCTGCTGCCTGGATTAACGGCAAGCTGCTGATGGGATGTGATGAGGAGGCGCAGGATGAGGCATCCCCAGTGATTTTGGTCAGAGGCAGAAGAGTCTGTCATGTGCACAGAATACTAATGAGGAATAGTCTGCGGGGGCGTGGGGGGGCGGGGCGGGGGAGTGTCTCTGTATATGTGTGCTGAGTATGGGTACCCATGTACCTTCAGTGCCCCAGCCAGGAGGCGGTGAGTGAAGTTGTGCTGTTGAGGCTTCTCCTTGCGAATTCGTTGATGCTGTTTCTGCTTCTTGGATCTCAAGGACTTGTCAAGTGGCAATCCATTTGCTTTTTGGCCTATGAGGAGGGGCCGTGTCATCTACCCATTCACTCACTCACTAAGCATTTCTGACCATCTATGATTGGCCAGGCATTGAGCGGAGCAGCAAGACAGGACCAGAGAGGGTCCCAAGCTCGAGAAGACACAGTGATGTGGACAAAAACAGGGGCTTTGGAATCAGACTGGGTTTGGATTGCATCTCTACCACTGAGTGATCTTGAGGAGACTGCTTGCTGTTAGTCCATACAGCACCTCAATGCAAACTAGAAAAGGCGTCGGCGCAGCTCAGTGGGTACACAGCATGGCCAGCCAAGTGCAGAGTGTTGGGCAGACATCCCTAGGTAGGGAAGAACGTGCACAACCAACTCTGGTGGCCCTGGCCTTGGGCAAGTTACTTAATTGCTCTGGGCCCTGGTTTCCTTAAAGAGAAGCTATGATTACCCAACATAAGAATTAAAGGCTCAGAGGACTCCCAGAGAGAACTCAGGGATGAGAGGTGGGTAGTCAACACCTGTTGAGCACCAACCCTGAGCCGGGAATGGTGCCAGCCACTTTTGCATAAAATAGCTATTTTCATTGAGAATCAGGCCAGGTGCAAAGCTGGCATGTGTTAGATTACTGCAGATGCCCCTCAATTCCTACAGGAAATAAACTCCTGAGGCCCAGGTACAGAGACCACCACCATCTGCCCTCTCCAGCCTTGTCCCGCCAGCGCTCTCCTCCCCCTCAGGTCAGAGTCCCATCAAACGCCCTTTGAGAACTGCCTGCCTTCATGCACGTTGCCTTTGCCAGCGATGTTCTTCCTCCCTCCGTGGCCAAACTGACACATCCATCCTTCAAGACCGCACGCCACGTGTTTCCTACTCAGTGAAGATTTCCTTGACCCGCCCCCCCCCCCAAAAAAAGCAAGGCTGACCACTCCCGGCCTTGGGTTTCCCGTTGCTAGTACGGACCTCCTCCCTGAAACCCATTACACTCTATTTTTCACTTACATTTTCGGATGTTCTTCTCCCTTACGCGACAGCGTGCTCCCTAAAGGAAAAATCCACCCCACCCCCCACCTATTGAGAACTAGTCGGAGTGCTTACAAATGCGTGTCCGTCTCCCCTCAGCCCTCCTCGCTTCCCTAAAATAAGGAGCAAGTAGCGCGCTCGAGAGTTTGCAAGCGCTCTCGTAGCAACTCCGGGGAGACGCGGAGGCTGAGCCGGACAGCTCCCTGGCCTCGGCCACCGCGAAAGCGGCAGCGCGGGACCCAGCTTGTAATTACGGGCGCGACCAGCACGGCGAGCCGGAACCTCGTCTCCGGAAGCGAAGTTCACTTCACAGGAGAAACTGAGGCCCCGGGGATCCGCGGCACCCCTGCGGGCCCAAACCGCACGTCCGACCACCGGGAGGCCGGGAGCGAGGTCCCCGCGGGTCGTCCCCACCAGCCCCGTGCCCGCTCCACTAACCGGCGGACCGGCTGCACGTCTCCTCCTCCGCGCGCAGCCAACCCCGCGCTACCGCCGCCGTCGCCACCAGGGCCAGCAACCCGAGAAACAGCGACAGGCCCATCAGCTCCGGCATCTGCGGCAGCTCCATGTTGGCAGGGCGCTGCCACCTCAGCCTCCCACTACGCTGGCGCCGGCACGCCTCCGCGGGGCCGCGCACGCACGCGGGGCGGGGTCTGGCCGTTGGCCCGTCCCGAGGGGCGGGGTCTGGCCGTTGGGCACCGTGGGGGCGGGGCCTGACCGTTGGGGCGTCCCTAGGGGCGGGGCTTGGCCGTTGGCTCGTCTCGCGGGGCGGGGCCTGATCGTTGGAGCGTTCCGAGGGGCGGGGCTCGGCTCTTCTGGTGTTTGGCTTGCGAAGCTCGCTCGAGGGCAAGATCTGAAGGCTCTGCCGAGTCATCCTCTTGAGTAATTTACTGATAATCGTTTATTAAAGGCGCTGTTCCAGCCATCTCCACGGTGGATCCTTTCGAGGAGGCAAGGCGGGGATGAGACCGTCTGGATGGACCAGTGTGTGCCAAGACCAAAGACAGAAGGAAAATCAGGAGGCGGTTGCTAGGATCCAAGAGGAAAGTGATAAGGACCTAGACTTAGGGGTGGCCTGGAGAGTGGAGAGGAACTTGAAAAGATTTTTAACGAGATGTTTTTATTTTGAAATTATAGATTCACAAGGAGTTTGGGAAAGCCAACAGGAAGGTTCCCCGTACCTTCACCCGGTTTCCTCCAGTGGTAACGTCTCACGTAGCAATAGTGCGATACCAAAACCGGGAAATTGGCATTGATACGGTCTACAGAGCTAATTGATAGGATTTGAATTAGACCTGCTTGGCTGGAAAGAGAGTGTTCTCAGAACAAGGAGCAGTGCCCCGTGGGCCTCCCAGCCCTGCAGCGCAGAGTGAGTTGAAATACCAGGGTCAGGGATTCCAGATTCAAAGGTTTCCGTGCCCACCAGGGAACCTCTCCTGAGAGTGCAGGTTCTCGGGCCTTTAGAAGGACCCTCTAAAGAGAAGGGCTGGTGCAGAGACCAGGTGACAGACAGATACATCCATAAGCTCGGTTGAGGACATAGATCCAGTCAGAGAGCAGATGGAGTGTGGCCTCATTTCCTTCCCTTTTGTCCTTGGTCCGGGGCGGGGGGGGGGGGGGGGGGGGCGGGGGGGAGGTTGTCATTGACTCAGCTGTGGGCAGTGGGGTGGGGACAGCTGGGAGGGGGTGTCCAGAACATCCTGGGGCTTTTCCTCCTTAATTTGCTATTTAGAACTGTAGACCAGCCATGAACCACTATATCACCTAGAGACAAAGCTATACTTTTTTTTTTTTAGTTTATTTATTTAAGCAATCTCTACACCCAACGTGGGGCTCAAACTCAACGACCCTAAGATCAAGAGTCAAATGCTCCTCTGACTGAGCCAGCCAGGTGTCCCGACAAAGCTGTACTTTTAAGAACTTCATTCACCGAGCATTTTGCATGTGACATTTATTGATCCGGGAGCTTTGTATTTAATTTAATCTCCCATTCCCATCCCACAGATTAGGAAACTGATGCTCTAGGAGGTGCTCATTAATTGACTTTCCAGATCACACAGGAGAAGAGTGAACGTGGCAACACATGCAGGTCTGTCTGTGACTCCAATCTTTTGATGTGGGGGACAAGGAGAAGAAAAAAATAGGGCTCTGTGGACAGCTCAGTCAAGGCTACAGAATTCTTCCACATCAGTTTAGTTGATTTTTCTAGCAGCCTCTAAGGCCAGTGATGCTATGAAATTAAACAAATGAAAAAAAAAATTAGGCTCAGGTCAAGTGACTTACCCAAGGTCAACAAGGAAGCAAGAGATACAACTCATTGGGGTGGGTGGTAAACCGGGGTCCACTACACTCCAAGACCCATCCTCCTCCTACCTCGCCACTCAGTGGTGATAAGGCCTGGCTCTTACCCTCAAGTGTCACAGTTGGAAGCCAAGGTTAGCTTGTGGAAGGACAACCAATGACACAAAGCAGGACTTGGGAAGGCTGGGCAGACCAGGGAAGGAGCTCTACTGGGAGCTCTACCAATGGGTTTTCAGGGGCAGTGAGACTTGGCTGTATGGCCGTGGCCCAGCATCATTGTAAATGTAAATTCTTAGACTCCATCCCAGACCTGTTGACTCAGAAATTCTGGAGGTGGGGTCCCCCGGCAATCTGTATTTTAAAAAGCCCCACTGGCTAAGTGATTCTGATGCATAGTACGGTTTAAGATCCACCAATTTAGGGGTGCCTGGGTGGCTCAGTCGTTAAGCGTCTGCCTTCAGTTCAGGTCATAATCCCAGGGTTCTGGGATCGAGCCCCACATCGGGCTCCCTGCTCCGTGGAAAGCCTGCTTCTCTCTCTCCCACTCCCCCTGCTTGTATTCCCTCTCTCGCTGTGTCTCTGTCAAATAAATAAATAAAATCTTAAAAAAAAAAAAGATCCACCAATTTAACTAACTTGAGCTCCAGACACTTGTTATTTGCAGCTCAAAGCATCTTCTTACAGTGGTTCTTAACCTTGGTTGCATATTGGAATCACTTAAGAAATGCTGGTGGTCGAACCTTCCACACGGAAGGCTTCTGATTTAATTGGTCTAGACTGGGTCTGGTCGTGAAGATTTTTTAAAGCACGTTATTCAAGTGCACATTTAAGTTTGAAAAGCAGCTGTCAGGGATACAGCCAACTAATACAAGACTATACGTAGAAGGGGATGTTCTGTTGGACCAGGGTGGTGGCTGTGGGGATGGATGCCTACGAGGTCACCTGGCCAGGCCTTGATAACAGGTACCACAGGGCAGTGGGATGTTGACAGGAGCTGAAGATGACTGTTTCCAGCTTGTATAAGTGTCTGGATGGTGGCACCCTTCCTGGGGATGGGGAACACGAAGAGGACCAGCTTTGAGGAGGAAGACTGTGGGCTATGGTCTCAGAAATGATGAGTTCTGGGACACCTGAGTGGCTTAGTCGTTAAGCATCTGCCTTCGGCTCAGGTCATGATCCCGGGGTCCTGGGATCGAGCCCCGCATCAGGCTCCCTGCTCTGCGGGAAGCCTGTTTCTCCATCTGCTGTTCCCCCTGCTTATGCTCTCTCTCTCTCTCACTGTCAAATAAATAAAATCTTAAAAAAAAAAAAAAAAGAAATGATGAGTTCTGTTTTGGTTCCTTCGAGGTAAAGGGAGCTGTGAAACATCAAGAAGGGAGGGGTTAGGGTGGCAGTTGGATATGTGCTTTTGTAGCTCCAGGGGCAAAGCAGGGCAGATCCAGAAGAGTGGATCCTCGGCAGAGAGGCCAAAGGGAATGCTGTTACCTGGGGCTTGCCACAAAGTAAGAAGGAAGTGGGCCAGGAAGGGTCAGGCGGAAGAAGAGGCTCCCACAGCAGGCCCTGGGAAGGCACTGTCAGGGAGGAGGGAGAGCCTGGAGAGAATTCTGGATTCATGAGGAAAGGGTGGTTCTAGAATGAGGTCCAAGCTGGGGCGCCTGGGTGGCTCAGTTGGTTAGGCGTCTGTCTTCAGCTCAGGTCATGATCCCAGAGTCCTGGAACTGAGCCCCTCGCCAGGCTCCCTGCTCAGTGTGGGGTGGGGGGGTCATCTGCTGCTCCCTCTCCTTCTGTCCCTCTGCTCTCTCTCTCAGATAAAATCTTTTAAAAAAAATGAGATCCAAGGGCCCAGGGGAAGGCAGGAAGAGCACTGCAAATTTGGATTTGGCAATGAGGGAGTCAAGTGACCTTAGTAACAGCGACTCAGTTTGGGGTGAGGCTGGGGTGGAAGTGGGGAGGAGGAGACCAAAGATGGGGTGAGTGGGAGGGGAGGAGAGAGGGAGAGCAAGTATAGATAGCTCTCTCAAGGAAAAGTGGCATCTAGTGGGGGGACACAGGGTCAAGGGGGGTCAAGGGGATGTCTTATGGGGACATTCCTGGGAGGGTGTGCGTGGGGGAAAAACAGCAAAGCACACCGTTAGGATTTTTTTTTTTTAAAGATTTTATTTATTTGACAGAGACACAGCGAGAGAGGGAACACAAGCAGGGGGGAGTGGGAGAGGGAGAAGCAGGCTCCCCGCTGAGCAGGGAGCCCGATGTGGGGCTCGATCCCAGGACCCTGGGATCGTGACCCGAGCCGAAGGCAGACGCTTAACGACTGAGCCACCCGGGTGCCCCCACCGTTAGGATTTTACCTCTCAGCCACTTCAAACCTTTGTCTGCAGCAACAGATAGCCCTCCAGGCCTGGGTGCACCTGTTCCCTGCACCGTAGAGAGAGCTGGGTAAAAGCAGAGACTAGAGTCAGACAGTAACCAAGCAGCCCTGGGCTAGTTAACCTCTCTGTGCCTCAACTTTTCATCTGTGAAATGGGGATTATAAATAATTACGCTAACTTTTTTTTAATATTTTATTTATTTGATGGATAGCACAAGCAGGCAGAGAAGCAGGCAGAGGGAAACGGAGAGGCAGGCTCTCCACTGAGCAGGGAGCCCGATGTGGGACTTGATCCCAGGATCCCGGGATCATGACCTGAGCCGAAGGCAGACGCTTAACGACTGAGCCACCCAGGCGCCCGTGATGACTCTTATAGAGTGCGTTATGCCAGTCACTGTTGTAAGTACTTTATATATATTTACCCTGAAATCCTCACAACTGGCCCTTAGAGGTAGATGTTAATATACAATAAGTGAGTTCATATACGTATATAAAGTACTTCAAATAGTGCTTGGCACAGAGTAAACATTAGATGAGTGTGTAGTTAGTATTGTTATCTGTGTTGTGATTCCACACAAATGAGGGGAAGTCAATGGCCACAGAAGCATCTGTGGAAGTCCTGAGATGTAAGAGGCTTGAATCAGCCCCATGAGGAGAGGGATCCGGCAGCGAACAGAATCCCCAGCACCAAGACCATCGTCTGGTTCCCGGCGGGCCCTCAGAAAAGATTTGTTCAAAGCTCAATAAAAGAATCAGTGAAATACTGGGGCCACTCACCCCAATTCCCCATCCGAAGTATCAGTTCCTTCTAAGACATCCCAACCAAGTGGCCGCCCCCCCTCCCGCTTGCACATCTCGCCTAATGGGGAGGTCACCACCCCTGGTGGCAGTCTGTTCTCCTTCTGGATGGTTCCAGCGGAGGGCCCTGTCCCTTCTACTCCTTGGCTTGGCTCTGCCCTCTTCCAGCTTGGAAGGTGGTAAGCCTTTCTGAACCTTTTCCTAGTCATGGAGAGAGGAATTCCAGGACGAGTGTCTGTCCTCTCTGAGCAGGATGATAGCAACAGCTTAAAACTGGTTTCCCTGCTTCTGTCCTTGCCCCACTGTGGCCTATTCTTGGCTTTGCACCCGGAGGGATTCTGTTAAGAACTTACATCTGACCTTGTCCCACCTCTACTCAAAACCTTCCAGTGGCTTCTAGCTCAGAGGAAAAGCTAAGGTCCTTTCAAGGCCACCTCCCACTGCCAGCTGGCTCTCTTTCCATCCCAGAGTGAGACACACTGACAGTCCCCAACAGTTTTTGGTTTTATTGGCAAGAATTCTTTACAAAATCCACACACACGCATCCACACGCACACAAGATGCCTGCCCCTGGTTTGGCTACCCCTCTGCCCTGCTCTCTCCTGGGATCAGACCTTCCTGGCCTCACCCAGGGATGCCATCCTACAGCACCCCACCCCACACTGGGCAACCAGCGAAGGAGCAGAGAGTGGGAACCTCCTTTTCTGCCTGTGTCCTACCCGGGGGAGGCGGGAAGCAGGTGGGGGAGGCAAGGAAAGAGGATCATCCCCCTTCCTCCTCCAAGCTCCCTGAGTTGCCAGCTTGAGCTCCAAGTGTCACAGCTGCTAAGGCCTTGGGATCATCATCTGGTTGAAGCTTCTCCAGCCCCATTTTGCAGACTGGAAAATGGAGGTCCCAAGAGTGAGCACGAGTCCCCCAGGTCACAGTGTTCGTTGCTGGTGGGGCAGCGACTAGAACGTAGCTCTTCCTGGCTTTCAGGAGGTGGAAGAGATTTGGGCCCTGCCAGACCCTCAGGCAAGGGGACAGCCAGGGCCTGGGGCAGGAAGGGAGTGCCCAGAAGTTGTCCCTGGAGCCCACGCCCAGGGAAAGCAGCCCCGGGGCCGCTGAGTGAGTGGCAGTGTCTGGCCAGCACTATAAAGGTTTACCAAGGGTGCCCTCTGTGACCGCCCGTGTGGCCTGCTCAGGTATACAGCCTGGATCTGTCAGGATGCTCGTAGATGTGCTCAGCTGGCGGAGAGAGTTCAAGACAGCTGGGGAAAGAGAATGAGAGAGAGAGAGAGGGAGAGATACCTCCTGGGGTCTAGGCCCTTCCTCCGGATGCTGAAGACGAAGGGATGAGGGAGAGATACTAGCTGGCAGGACCGTCAGCCCTTCTCAGGACTCTGTCTGCAGGTGTCCTGGAGGCCGGAAAACCATCCAAGGTACGTGGTGGGATGGCCAAAACTTTAGGCTATTCTGAAAGCAGGCTGGACCTGTGGTCTGAGCAGAGTGGACCTTCCTGGACGTTCCTGGACATTCTGGTGGGCAGGGGGGTGGCTCACGTACTTGGCCGGAGAGCGGGCAGGGAGCAGTACTGGTCCAGCCAAGCCAGGGAGGTCTGGCGGAGGCTCTGCAAGCTTGCAGTGGACACCATCCCATTGAAGGACTCGAACAGAGGCCGAATGAGGACGCTGAACTGGGCTCAGGTCAAGGAGCAGGCCTGTTGATCAGCCAGGACCCTCACCCAGCTCATGTGTAGCCCTGACATCTGGCCCAAACCCCGGGAAGGTCCTGGCCACGGTGGCACCTTGAACTTGGAGGCCTCCCACTGCAGCCACCCTCCCATCCTGCCACGGCCTGCCCGGCCCCTCTATGCCATCTTCTGGGCTACGCTATCCCTTGTCCCTGAGCTTCCTGTCCCAGCTCAGCCAAGAGCTTGACCAGGTAAGGGAGTGAGAGATTCCACGTCTTCTTCAGGAGCCACCCCGCTCACGCGACTCAGACTTGAGGTTCTCCCAAACTCCCCTTGGGACATTCTGTGGGCAGGGCTGTGGTCCCCTCACCCAGGGGCTCCTCCCTCGGTTTCCCTCTGCTCCCAGCGAATCACTGGGCACTCCTGCCGGCCAAGACGCCACGGGCCTGGAAGGAGGGGGCAGAACCTGTGTCCCTTCCCCTGGGCTCAGCTCAGAGCCCCTGCCTGGCCTGTCTGACTGCCGCGTTCCCCCCACCCCCACCCCCCACCGGCCGAGGGAGGATACCACCCAGAACTTCCAGTTGTGCAGCGTCCGGGTACGGACGTAGTCGTCAAACATGTCTCGCATCTGGTCGAAACGCTGGTGTGTGATGGGCACCCCAGTAGCAGGCAGCTGTTGCTGGCACAGGCTGGGGGCAGGGGGCCGGTCAGGGCTGGGGAGCCGCGCGGCATGCCCCGGGCCCCAGCGCCCACAGGCCCCCCGCCTACTTAATGGCAGCGTTGAGCTCCTCGATCTGGTCCCGTAGCTGCTGGGCCTCCTCCTGCAAGGCCGCGCGCTCCTGCTGCAGCATGGCGATGTACTCGGCTGTCTTCTGCAGCGTGGTTGCTTTGCTCACCTGCAGGCATCACCAGGGTGGGCTCAGGTGCTGGAGGTGGCCCCACTCTGGGGCCCACTGAGGCACTGGGTGGGAGGAGGAAACTGGGTGTCCAGAGGGTCCTGAGATTTGGTCTTGGGCGGGGCAGGGGGTGGGGGGTGGGGTCAACGAAGGAGCCCTGCGGTTCTGGGGTGCCGGCCTGGGCTGGGGGCTCACCTTGATGCTGGGCTGGGCGCTGAGTGTGCTCACTAGCCCGTGCAGGGTGTCAAACCCCAGCTTGATGTTGAAGCGCCGCTTCTGCTCTGCAGAGATGTGGGTGATGCGCCGGTTCTCAGTCTTGGGGGGCAGACAGTGGGGTGAGCCTAGGAAGGAGCATGGAAGGGCCTAGGGGTAGCAAACAGATCTCGGGGTGAGGGAAAGGTGCCACCTTGTTGTTGTCTGGACGGCCCCGGCTTAGGATGGGTTGAGGGGGAGAGACGCAGACACTCAGAGTCCCCGGGCCCCGCATGGAGCTGAGCTCCCCAGACAGCCGTCGCTCACCACCTGTGGCAGGGACAGACAGAGACCCACAGAGAGACCGACACAGGGGAGAGGGTCCCATTGCCCTGTCCCGCTCATCCTGGCCTCAGATGTAGTCCCCCCTTCTTCCTTCCCCTCCACCCCCTGGAGTCCCCCAAGCCCTGCAAGCCTCTTTACCGCTGTGCGCTGGGGGCGAGAGCCGCTCCGCTTTGGGGACAATCAGGGGCCTGGGAGGGGCCAGTGTGGCCGGGCCTGGAGGTGGCTGGGGCGGTGTGGGGGCCGGGGTCGGGGGTAGAAAGGTGCAGGGGAATTCAGGGGCCGTCTCCTGCTGGAGTGGAGAAGGGTGGAGAGTTGGGGTGAAGCCCTGGGTCCCCCCTCACCTCCCAGTGCCCGCCATCTTACCGGGGACCCTGAGGGCCGGAGGAGGGTGCTGGACACAAGTGCTGGTTCCAGGGTCTGCTCGGGCTTCGCTGTGCATGGGCAGAAGTGTGAGGGCCACTGGGGCCAGCCTCAACCCCGTCATTTCCAAAGACCCCCTCCCTCCCCTCCAAAAAAGCCCACTCCCCTCTTGGGTTCAGGGCCCATGTCCCTAATTCCTCCCCACTTCTCCACACCCCCCCAGCAGAGCCTGAGCCTGCCCCTTAAACCTTCACCCTCTGCTCCCATAGGCTCCCCACTTCCACATCTGAGGTCCCCACCTTCCCCTCTGTGGACCCGGTTCTCCCCATCTCACCTGCTGTGAGCAGCTGCGTGAGGCAGGGGTTGCTGCCCCCGGCAGTGACGGTGGGGTTGGCAATGGCAGGGGCCAAAGTCGGGGGGCTGGGCTTCCGCCCTCTAGGGGATGGGGTGGGGGGCCTGCCTCTGGGCCGCATGCCTTGGGGCACTGTGAAGTGGGGCCCAAATGTGGGCTCCAGATACCCTGAGGGCAGAAGGTCTATGGGGAAGGGGCCAGGGGCCGGGCCTGGACCCGGCTGTGGGGTGGGTGGGAAGGCAGTGGGAGCAGGCAGTGGGGACACTCCTGGGCCCTGGGGGACAGTGGAGAAGGGGAATCTGGGAGAGAAGAGAGGCTCTTCCGGCAGCAAAGCAGGGGGAGGAGCCATGGGAGGGAAGGTGGGTGGGGGACAGGGCTCCAGGCCAGGCCCCTTGGCAAGGGCCCGGTATTGGAGGAGGGGTGGGGGGACTGGCGGAGGTGGGAGCTTGGGCTTGGGGTCTTCAGGAAGGAGGAAATCAGAGTTCAGGAAGGCACTGGAGTCCAGGGGGCCAGGGCAGCTGCTCCGGGCCTGGTTGGGGGACAGACAGAGCAGGGGAGAGAGCTGGTCTTGGCAGCCACTCCGGCAGCCTCTTGACCTGGCTGAGCTCTGGACTGGGCACTGGGAGAGATAGGAGAAATGATCCCTGCTGTCCCTCCCCCGACCCACACCCACACACCAAGGGAAACTGCAGTCTAATGAGGGGAGGGATTGGAACACACGTATGCACAAATTAGGCCTGAGAAAGAGTATCAATCTTCCTGCCCATCTTTTCATTTGCCAGATTAATTATTCCATCCAGCCACCAATCCATCCACTAACCCATCTGTCCTCCATTCACCTATTTGTCCTCTCACCTGCGAGCTAACTCATCCACCCATCTCTCCACCAGCCCACCAGTTATTAGCCCATTCACCAATCTATCTGACCGTCTCTACTTCATTCATCCATCAACCCATCCATAATCCTCTACCTATCCACCATCTGTTCACTGACCAGCCACTTCTTCAGCCACCAGCCTATTCACTGACCCACCAAACTATTCATCTACAAATCCATCTACAGCCCATCCATCCAACCGACCACTCACCTACCCATATGGACACCAACCCATGTAAGCATCCACCCTCAACTACAACCCATCTATCCACTCACCAACACACCCCTCCATCTACACACTCACTCACTGGCTCATTAGCTCAGTCATTGGGCAACGATTTAGCCAGTACTGCTCAGGTGCTTGAACTGTGCCAGGTAAGCCTGAGCAAGGCTTAGTTAGCTCTTTCAGCGAGGAGCTCGCTGTCTAGTTGAAGAGACCTCTCAACAATGAACTACAAGAGTGCCTGAACAGTCTGATGACAGAAGGAAAAGGCGTCTGACAGAGCAGCAGGGAGGCGACCTCCAAATTGAGCCTGCGGCTGCGGGTTCCTCATCCAAAATGGCAGCTTCACTGTGTCCTAAACACTCACACTGAGCTTCCTGTCTCCGTGTGCTCCTTTGTGCTTCTCCTCCCATCTGGCTTGCCCTCTACCAGTCTCTTCTTCTGTCCAAACCCAACCCATTCACTAAGCCCAGAACCTCCCCTCCTCCAGAAAGCCTTCCATAAGCAACCCGGTCCTGGGTGGTGTCCTCCTCCATGCCCTCCCCTCTCCACTGCCCCCCCCCCCGGCCGCTGCCCTCAGCCTCCCCTCTATAACCACCTGGTCCAGTTCTGCTTCACGAGGCTCCTTCCTCCTGAGCTGAATTGCTGCCTCTCAGAGGGCAGAGATGGGGTCTCTCTCCCCCTCCAGTCCCTCTCAGTCGACCAGGCACAGGACTGGGTACTCGGGAATTACCCTATCTCCCAGACAGGGGCAGGTGAGCTAGGCAGGGCTGAGTGGGGTGGGGGCGGGAGCTCACCTGCAGGCGGTTATGCCCTGAGAGGTGGGTCACACCCGACGAGGCAGGGGGCACCTCTGAGCCCAAGATCCCACTGCTGAAGAAAGGGTCAGCCATGGGGCCAAAGCTGGGGGGCTCTGGGAAGTGTGAGGGCGTGGGCGTCGGTGGGGGGCGGTAGCTGGTGAAGAAATCTGTAATTCAGACATACAAGGCGGTGGCAGTTAGGGATAAGGCCAGGCGTGGCTGGAAGCAGTGGGAGGAGAGTGGGCCTCGTGCCCTGTCCCCAGGCTGGGCTGGCCTGGCTGGCAATGAGATCAGGGGGAGGCGGGCGGGGGGGGCTTCTACAGGAGATTGTGAAATTGGGAGAGTTTCTGTCTCACTCAGGGGAAGCAGCAACAGAGGTTTGGTGGGATGGGCCTGCACCCTGGACAGCAGAGGCCGGGTCGGGGTGTGAGTAGAACCCCAGGGAATAGTCCTCCCACCGAGCCTTACACTTGGCTCATGGGGTCCTCTTCCCCATCCCAGGCCCAGGCCCTCCCCTCTCCCCCTCCTGTTACCAACTCTGCTGGGGCCATAGAAAGGGGCAGGGTAATAGAGCCCGCCAGTGAGGGAAAGGGGTGAGGTGCACAGGGCGGAGGTCTGGGATAGGGAAGAGCCCCAGGGTAATGGGAGTTCAAGGGGTGAGCTAGAGGTGAGATGGGTCAGGAGGTCAGTGGGTCTGGGACAAGTTGGTTTGTTGGAAGGTCAAGTGGGGCCTCAAAAGTAGAGCCCGGGAGTGGGGTGAAGGACTAAGGGGGTCATAGCAGGGGTCAGAGGGTGGGCTCAGAGTGGGGGCAGGGGTGGGGGGCGCTGGAAAGCCTCAAAGAGCTGGCCGGGGGGGGCAGCCAGATTGTCTGAGGTGCGGGTTGTGTAAGCCCCAGGCTATTCTGGTTTTGGGAAGCAGCTGCCTGTGGCCTAACCACATCCCGGGCCTGGGCGCCACCCGCCCACCCGCTCCCTTCCGGGCACCTTTCTCTGACCCTGACCAGCCTTTGGTCTGAACCAGCTCCCAAGGCCTCTTGGTCTGGCCTGACCCAGCCACACAAGGCCCATCCAAGGCCCTGGCTCCCCAGCCAGGGAAGCTGGTCAGGCCTCTCTCCCAAAGGCCACCTTGAAGGAGACCCAGGAATGGGACAGATAAGCCCACACCCAACCCGGAGCCTGATGGAGTTAAACTTTGTATGTGCATCTTATGTGAGTCTGGTGCCCGTGTCACTGGAAGGTTGTCGCTCTGTGGGTGTCAGTGTGTGGTCTCATGCAGGATCCATCTCTGCTATGTGTCCCCGTGTCTGTAGCTCTGTCTGAGTCGGTGTGTGCCTACCTTGATGTGAGGCCCTCTGCAGGCGCACGTCGGCTCTGTGCCCGGGTGTGTGTGTTTGTGTGTGTGTGTGTGTGTGAGCTTGCACGCGCTCATGTGGGTCTTTCTTGACCACCTGATCAGAAAGGATCTTCTTGTCCTACTGCCTCCCTTTAACCGAGGGACTGGGTGGCAGAGGGTGAGTGGTCACTGATCCTCTATCCCCCCAGCCCCCAGAGACTGTGGGCCTCATCACTAGGCCCCTTGAGGCCTAGGCTCTAGAACGAGCCACGTAGGGGGGCCTGTTCCCCCCTCACTGCTGCTGCCTCCTCCCCAGTGCTCTGCAGGGCTCATGGGGTACCGAGCCCAGTCACCACCCCCCCCCGCCATAGTTTGCCCTCAACTGTCCCTTCCCCCTTGAGAGAAGTTGCTTTGTAGCCCTAGCCGGCCACCCACGGAGCCCTAGTTCCCCCCAGCTTCTGTCCCCCCTTTGATCTATATCCCCTCCCTGAGACCCTCTCCTACTCCAATCCCCCTCCCCTTCCTTGAATACTCCGCCCCAAGCCCCCTCCCTCGGTAGAGTTCCAGCCCGTCCCTGGGTTTCCTCTCTAGTGAGGAGCCCTGGGGGACAATCGAGGCAGTAGCCCTGGTGGCCCTGGTGCTCCCGGCCCTCCCTGTGTGTGCAGCGCCAGGGGGCCACACTAGCCACCTCCTCTGCATCACCCACATCCCCTACCTTTGGTTGCCCATGCTCACCGCCCCCCAGCAGCCACCCTGGATTGAGAGAAGTGGCTTCCTAGCCCCCAATTTGGCGGAGTCCGGGCAAGAGGCGGTTTCCTACCTGTGGCGGGGGTACGTGTGCCCAGACAGGACCACTGCCCTCCCAGACTGGTCTGCTCCCTGGGCTCTGCCATCAACACTTCTGCCCCCACGGCCCCCACCCTGCCCAGGGCTGAGGCAGGGGTGGGGGTGGTTCCTCATTCCCTAGTGCCCGCCCCACCTCTTGACTGACAGGCCCAGGACCCTATGCAGAAGAAGCGGAGGGGTCATGGGAACTAAGCCTTTATCCCAGAAACCCCCTTCCTACCCCCTGGGCCTGGGCTGAGACAGGCCAAGCCTCTATGGCTACCTGACCCCTAACAGGGTCCAGAGTCCCCTGTTCGTATGATTGTCGGGGACAGTCTCCAGGATCTAAGCTAAGTAAAAGAAGCAATGTCAGGCAGTCTATTGTGAAAACAAAAAGAGACATTTGTCCACAGGTGCTCATGCAGACACGGGTATCTCTGGGAGGACACAAGAAACCAGTGACCTAGCAGCCCTAGGGTCAGGGAGAGGGAGGCACAGAAACACATTACTAAAAAAATAAAAAATAAAAGAAATAAAATAATAAAAATGCTTTACAAGATAAAATTCCTGGGATTTTCTTAAAAACCACTAAGGAAGGAGAAGTGGGTGAGGCCTCCATGAAACCAGATCGGTCAAGGGTTGATACATATTGAAGTCGGTGATGGTTACAGGAGGCTTCAGTGAACCACTCTCTCTCTCTCTGTGTATGTTTGGAATGTTCTTTTTAATTTATTTAAAGATTTTATTTGTTTATATTTATTTGAGAGAGAGAGAGAGAGAGAGAGAGCACGACTGCGGGGAGGGGCAGAGGGAGAAGGAGAAGCAGACTCTCTGAGCTGAGCAGGGGGCCCGAGGTGGGGCTCGATCCCAGGACCCCAGGATCATGACCTGAGCCCAAGGCAGACGCTTAACCGACTGAGCCACCCAGGCGCCCCTGGAATGTTCTTTAATAGTTTTTAAAGGGAATTATGTAAATAATAAACGGGCCCAAACAAATCAAAGTCCCTTTCTCTCCTGAGATTCCCAACATCCCTACTTTCCTGGGCCCTGGCGCCTGCTCAGGTGCCCAGTCTGGCCCTGCTCTCACCTGAGGCCACGTCAATTGCATCCCAAGTCCGGGCAAAGGGAGACCAGGAAGGGCCCTCAGAGATCACTTAGACCATCCGTCCTCCCGGAGGGGTCTGGGACGCACCTGAGGGCCGGTGGTCATCCGGGGACTTTCCTCACGCTGGCCCGGCCTACAACCCCACCCAACAGGGGGCGCTGCCTCACCTGAGATCTCCATGAAGTCGTCCAGGCTGGGCTGCAGGGGCGTCAGGTCCGGCTGGATCATGTCAGCATTGCCCACGTAGGCTGGAGGGGGCAGGGGTGCCATCAGGAGCGGCCGGCGGGGTGGAGTGGGGCCGCCCAACCTCTGGCCACCCTCCCTTGGCCGCCCGGATTCTCGCAGGCCTCGCTTTCCAGGTGCAGGCCCTTACCGTCCTCAGGGGGCAGCTGCAGGGGCGCGGAGCTGGGCTGCGTCATGGTGAAGAGCGTGTCGGAGATGTCGGACAAAAAGCAATCGAGGTCCAGCAGCTGCCGCCCGCTGGGCTCCTCCTCCGGGCCCCCCAGCAGCACGGGCACCACGCTCGAGAAGAGCTGCTCGCACCATCGCTCTGGTGGCTGCCAACCCCCTTCCGCCTAGGGAGACAGAGCCTTCAGCAGCCACGAGAGGGACACAGGGGTCCCCCACTGCCCCTCGCCCTTCCGTATGGCCCCCGCCTGGGGGATGAGGTGGTCAGCAGGTCGGGAGCCTGTGTGTGCACGGCCCTCCTCACCTCTCTCTGGAGGACCCAGTTTGCTGCCTGGAAGGCCTATGGTGGCCTGCTGAACAGATAAGGGTCCCCTTCCTGCCCCCTATACTTTTTTCCTGCCCGGAACCCAGTTCTTGGGGACTTCTGTTCTCCCCATGCCTCCCACCACTTGCTGGGCTAACCGGAAGGCTTGGGGTCTTCCCACCGCGGCGCTCAAAGGCTCCCCCTCCTCCGGGGAGAAGGGCTCGATCAATAGAGGACAGCGGCCACACCCACTGCCTTCGTGACCCACCGTCGCCGGGCCACCGCCTTACCCACCTAGAGGGAAGCTGTCAGTTCTCTGGGTCCCGGGAGCACCCACCTGCTTTGGGGTCAGGAGGTCCCCTTCCCTGCTGGATTTACGGAGCTGCAGGAACACAGAGTGGTGGACACTGGATCGCCTGTCCCTCTTCCAGCAGTGCCCGCCAAGGCCTCCCCTACTCAGAAGCTCCCCCGGACGAAGGGGCCCCCCATTCCCCCTCAGGAGCTCCTCCGCGCTGGGAGGTAAGGAGGCGGCGAGGAGACTCTGGGCCACACGGTGGCGCTGTCAGCCTGGATCTTAATGGCAGGCGGGGTCGGGCGGTCGAGGGGAGTCCCGCCCGGGCTCTTCCAAGAGAGGCAGTGGTCCGCAGCCCCCCGGACCCCCCTCCCTCCCACCGCTGACCCGTTTCTTGTAGTAGATGCGCCACTTGTGGTACTCGCGCATCACCACCTCGATGCGCCGCTTCCAGTAATTGCCCTCCAGGACCACGGCCTGGGGAGGACCAGGAGGGGGCTCAGTGAGACCGCGGGCACTGACCCCCAGCCCTCACCCAGTCCGCCCCTGGGCCAGCCCCTCCTGCCCCGCGCCGGGAGAGACCCGAGGGAGGGGCCGGGCTCGGCAGGGAGGCAGGCAGGCCGGGAGGGCCCGCCGCTCAGCTACCTCTGGTTTCCGGTGCTCATCAGCCTCAGGCCCCTGCAGGGGGGTCACGAAGCCACACACGGGGCTCTTCCTCTGCTCCACATCTGAGAGAAGGGGGCCAGGTCAGGGAGGTACCCGGCGCCTTCACCTCCCACCCCAAGGGGACTGGGACTCAAGTGCCACACTATGAAATCCTGCTTGGCTTCTGATGCTTAGAGAAGTGCCACCTCCTCCAGGAAGCCTTCCTGCCTGCTCCAGCACCCCCAGGGCCCCCTCTTTTACAGGACCCTGTGAAAGGAACCTCCCACACCTCCTCTGCCTCCCTCGGGAGCCCAGTAGGTGTTCAGGCAACACTCGCTGAATGGGATTGTGGGACCACAGGAAGTGAGCTGCCCCAAGAAGGTCAGACTGGCAGGCCAGGGCCTGGAGCCCTTGGTCTCCTGCCTCAGGCTCCTCGGCACTGCCCAATCTGATGCCAGAGAACCACCCCTTGTCCTCTCAGGCCACCTAGCTGAGCCCTTTCCCCACCTCCTCCACTCCCTTCCCTATCTCCAGTCCAATCTCTCCCTCCCCAGGCTCCTTCTTCGGGGCCCATAAACACATTTCAGGCTCCCCTTTACCTCCTAAACTTTCCCTTCCTTTGCTACCCCAACAAGCTAATCTTCTTCCCTTTCACCCCTCTGCTTTGCCCCCAGTTCTAGAATAGTTGTCATCAGCACCTCCACTCTGTGCCTCCTGGTCTCCTCTTCACTTCCTGTGACCCAGCACCTGCCCCCACTGCCCGGCCAAGGCCCTTACCCTCCCTGGACCCAACCTCTTGGACCTCAATGCAGAGCACCCCCTCCTCCCTCGGCCAGGGAACCTACCCTTTGTTCTCCTGCCTCCTTGACTATTTTCACTGGCCCTTCTGCGAGGCATACCCCCAAACCCCTCTCATCTTGCCCCTTTCCAGCTGCAGATATTTTTCACCCGCCCATAGAATCTCTGTCAGGATGTCCCAAAACTTGGGGGGTAGGGAATTAAAAAAAAAAAAAAAAGGATGTCCCAAAACTTGACCCTCTCCGATGTTTGGAAACGTCCTTCCCAAGCCTGTGCATCCTCTGGACAGCCAACACTGCCCCCCACAGAAACTGCCCATCTACCCCCAGCATTCCTCTCTAACGGTGAACTAATCATCTCACTCCTGTCTCACTCCCGAGGATATGTGGCATTTCTGCCCCTGTCCCCTCCCCTCCATATTCTTAGTCACACCCCCCCCCCCACCGGGGGTCTGGTGACCTCCTTCACAGGCCCTACCTTGAAGCCAAACAGCTTCCCCCCACCACAGCCCACCCTCTGGTTTTATTCTTCACGGAATGCCTTTCCCGTCCCTCCTCTGCCTCACCCACATCTGCCCACCCGTCAGGAGAGCCCAGGGCAGTCCCTCTTCCAGGAAGCCCTCCCTCCTCTGAAACCCTGCAGTCTTATCTGCCTGGCTCTCCACTTGGCCTTGGCCATTTCTCTGCATGCTGGCCTCCCTGCTAGGAGTAAAAGTAGGAGCTGTTGCCCTTTAGCCTCAAATCCCTGAATCTGGCAGAGAACTTGGCACACAGTAGGGCTTCCGGACCCTGGGACCCCCATGCAGTGACTTTTCCCGCCTCAGTCCTCCGCAAACTTCCTCTGGGACAATTAACAGACAAGGGGGACCACCCAAACATGAAATTATCGGGACCTTCAGCCTCATTTACAAAGTTCTGTCCTAAAGGACAGTCTCCAAAACGATCCCCACGGGATTAGGGAAGAGGTTTGTCCTGCTAGCTGAGCGTGGCTCGGAAAACAAAGGGATGGGCCCCTGGGTGTGTGAACTCCCCGGGGTGAGAGTAAGGAGGGTCTCAAAGAGTAGCTGCCCTGGGTTCCCAGATGAGGACATGAGCACTAGGGTCCCCAGAGGGTCAGGTCTGAGCAGGCCTGGCTGGACCTTCCCTCCCCCACCCCGGGGACCCTGTGCTCTAGACAGAAGGGCAGTGACCATGTGGCTCCTGGGGCTGGGGCGGGCTTTATTTAACACTGTTGAGTTCATCCATTCAGGAAGCCACCTAGCCCCTTGCACCTGAGCTGGGACAGATGCTGGGACAGGGAATCCGCAGGCGAATCAGAGCACTCACGGCTTAGTTGGAGAGATAAGGAAAGCACACACGTAACATGAGCTAATGCAAGGGGGGGAGCCCGCCCATGAGAGGTGCACAGTGCTCTGGGAGCTCAGAGGACACCAAGATGATTTGGGGGTGTTAGAAAGGAGGGGAACTTGGAGGCCAGGAGCCTGCAGAGGGGTGGCAGGTACAAAGGGGATGAGCCAGGCAGCCCTCCAGCTGTTCCCCCCTCCCTTTCCTGAAGCCCACCTTCAAACCCTCAGTGCCCGGGGAGAAGGGGTGTGCCATGTGCTGTTGCTATTATCACGATAACATTATCACCTTCGGGGAGCCCTTGTGTGTGTCGGGCCCTGTGCTGAGACATGAATGATCTCACTAAAAACTCACAGCAAGCCTCAGAGCAGGACCTACCGTTATTCTCTCTGTACAGATGAGCGATCCTTATCTAGGGAGACTAGGGACTTTCCCAAGGTCACACAGCTTGGTGGGAAGGGGCATCCTAGAACTTGACCCAGCCCCCCTCTCTGTCTGACACAGAACCCAGGTGCTTCCAGCAACTCGGGCAATAGCCAGAGACCAGGGTCTGCCTGTCTGGGTGAGGACCCTGGGTAGCATCAGCAATTTCTTCTGCAGAGAAGGGTTTGCATCCCATCCAGCTGTGTGGGGGAAGGGCAGAGAGAGCGGGGCGGTGGGGAAAGTGGCAGTGACTCCCTCTGGCCTATCAGCCTCCTGGTTAGGGTAGGTCCTGGTCCTACGTGTTCTCAGGTGAGCCATCCTACCTGTTCTCAGGTGAGGACTGAAAGCCAGCCAGCTGGGAGCAGCGAAAGGAGCTCTGGGCTCAGAGTAGGAGAGCCCTGGACTTCCAGCCAGTCACAGCTCTGTTCCTTTTATGCTCCATGACCCTGAACAAGTTACTGGCCTTCTGCGCCTTACTTGCTCATCCATAAAATGGGGGTAATAATACCTATCTGCCAGGGTTGCCAGGAAGCCTCGAATAAGATGGTTTATGAAGTACTGGGCACCAGAGATAAATGGAAACCAGAAAACCCTCCCTCTCTCTGCTTGGATGGAATCCAGGGGACCAGGACAGAGAACACTGAATATGTTCCCTCCTGGGCTGTGTGTTCCCAGCTCAGGGTAGCTTTTGATCCTGTAGCAGGACTTGGCTGCACCGGACAAGGTCCCAACCCAGGGTGGACTGGTCTGAGGCTGCTCAGCCTCGGCTGTTTTGCCATGGAGGGTGGGTGGGTCTCGAAACCCAAAATGAATGACCGTGACCTTCTCAAGGGCATATCAGATTCACCCATCATGGGGGCTCCTGGGTGGCTCAGATGGTTAAGCGTCTGCCTTCGGCTCGGGTCCTGGGAACGAACCCCACATCGGGCTCCTGGCTCGGCGGGGAGCCTGCTTCTCCCTCTCCCTCTGCCTCTCCCCCTGCTCATGCTCTCTCTCTCTCTCTCTCTCTCTCTGTATCTCTGTGTCTCAAATGAATAAATAAAATCTTAAAAAAAAAAAAAAAAAGATTCACCCATCATTTATTCAGCACCAGCTTTGCACCGGGCCCATTCATACTTGTTATCCCCAGGCCAACCAGGAAAAGTAGGACTGTTGGCCTTATTAGGAAACAGATTCAGAGACGTTAGTCACACAGCCTGAGGTTCCACAGCCAGCAAGGGCAGAGACTGGGGAGGTAAGCATCTCTGGGCAACTCCCAAGTCTGCAGCCCCCTCCACTCTACCACATGGCCTCTCTGGGTGCCGCACCGCCCCCCCAGACTCCATGCGGGCACCTGCTGGCGGTTCAGTAAGGACTTCAGAAAGGCTGGGGGAGACCCAGGCAAGATCCTTATTTTCTCCCCTTTGCGATGCGATGCCACTGGCCCGGACAGCATCTAGCACCTCTTTCCACTCTGCCATGTGAGGCACTGACTAGGCTGATGGAATGCAGAAAGGGTCTTGAACTGCCCTCAAATCTCTGCCCACCTTAGGACTTCCAAGGGGTGACCGCTGCTGTGCCTAGCGGTCCCTGTGGAGAGCACCCTTTGGAACGCGTTCCCCTAGACCCTCTGGGGGTCAGATGCTGGTGCTGGCCCCTAAGGGCCATGGGGGTTTCCTGGGTGCCCCCCACTTACAGCCCCCCTGCTGGTGAGGCCCGTGGTGCCCACTCACACTGGATGTACCAGGCCCTCCAGATGGCGTTGTTGAGGCGGATCTTGTCTCTGCAAAGCAGCTTGAGGCCTTTGAAATTCTTCCACTTGGGAGACACCAGCTTGCCACTGTCAGAGGGAGAGGGCTGGGTCAGGGGGGGTTGCTCCTGCAGGGCTGGCTCCCCACTCTTGCCATGCACTGGCTATTCATCCATGCTGGGCCATCTGAGGGTCTCCTCCCCAACCCCGAAAATCCTGCTCCTTGCTCTAACCTGCCTGAAATTCCTACCCTGAGAGTCAGACCTTCAGAATAGGTCCTTGCTAGGGCCCCTGTGTTCTCTGGCCGGAGCTGCTCATTCACCCACTGCCAGAACTAAAGCCAGGGCTGAAACCTGTTTGTCAGCAACGTCCTAAAGACAATAATGCCGGTGGTCCCACAGACATCTGTCTGTAGGCCCGCTAGGGCGGGTTCTCAGACCCATTTCTAACAGAAGGCAACTGAGCGTCAGGAAGGTGAAGCGACATTCCCAAGGCCACATGGTGGAGATTCATTCAGGCCCTATGGCTTTCTCTCCACCAGTCTCACTGGCCCCCTTTGGCCCCTAGGGGATGGGGAAGGTGTTCCTGGGTGGGGAGAAGTGGCCTCCAAGCAACCAGCCTCTGTCTTTTCACTGCCCTTCTGGCGCCTGCCCACTCCAGAATCCCAGGATGGCGATCTGGGCTGAGCTGGAAAGGTGTGCCCCTTCTCAGGGGTGTGTGCAAGACAATAGCCATCAGGCTCCAAAGGAAGGCAGCTGGGATGGTGGAGTGGTGGGCACGTGCCGTGGGGAAGCAGCACTCTGATCCCGACCCCTAACCCTGACCCTAATCCTAGCCGTCAATCAAATCCACGAGATGGAAGGGCCTTACACAGGTGAGGGGCTTGACTCTCAAGGTCAAGATGTGCCAAGTCAGTAAGGACTTCAGAAAGGCTGGGGGAGGGCGCCTGGGTGGCTCAGTTGGTTAAGCGACTGCCTTCGGCTCAGGTCATGATCCTGGAGTCCCTGGATCGAGTCCCGCATTGGGCTCCCTGCTCGGCAGGGAGTCTGCTTCTCCCTCTGACCCTCCCCCCTCTCATGTGCTCTTTCTCTCTCTTAAATAAATAAATAAAATCTTTAAAAAAAAAAAAAAAAAAGAAAGGCTGGGGGAGACCCAGGCAAGATCCTTATTTTCTCCCCTTTGCGATGTGATGCCACTGGCCTGGACAGCATCTAGCAACTCTTACAGGCCAAGTCAACCACCCCTAAGGAGCTGACCCAGGAAGTCAAGATGCTCAGGGTCCAGACCCCCACTGGTTCCCCCCTTCTCCCTCCATCCTCATGGTCCACAAGCCAGGGCTGTATACCAGTCCCTTCTGGCCCACCTTCTCCAACCCTTGCTCACATGGGAAGCTGAGGCCCCAAGGCTTAGTTTTTCAGAACCCCAGGCCCGCTTTCTTCCAAGGCTTCTCCCTCATCTTGGGGGTAAGAGGTGGGTGGGTGGCAATCTGACTACTACAGCCCCTTAGGTGCATGGGTCACTGGGTCCCCTCTCTTCTCTGGTCTCCAAGCTCCTCTGTTTGTTTTGGGATAGGGAGTGGGGAGGACTGCCACCCCAGGGTACCATCGGCCTCATTACCCAAATAGAGTACATAGCCCATGCTTGCTGGCTGGCCCCCTCCCTCCTAAGTTAGATAAACACCATCTGTCCAGTAGAGAGACAGGGATGGGGTACACTGATACGTCCCGGGCCAGCTTCTTCTGTGGCACCTGGGGGGGACTCCTGAGTTCGTTGCCCCTGCCGGTATCCCAGCAACCTCCCAGCCCGCTCTGGTCACCCAGTTCCCCACGCCCAGCCTGCCTGCCCTCCCTCCGTTTCCCAGCTGAGGCTATGATGTGTGTGGCCAAGGCGGTGCTCAGGGAGATGAGACCGTGACAACATCCAAGCCTAGGAGGAAAGCATTTTGTCTGTGTCGGGCTTGCTGGCTGGGAGGGGAGGCGAGGGGCCCAGCCGGGAGCAAAAAGCCTGGTACTAGGGTTCAAGGGCTTCTTATGACCAATAGAAAGTCTGGGAATCTTGGGGATGGGTTGGAGAAAACCTAGGACTCTTAGTTCAGCGCGACCGACCCCCCATCCCCTCTCCCAACCCCAATCTACCTTATAGGAATTCCCCAAGAGTCTCTCTGACAGAGTCTTCCTTGCTGTCTCCCAGAGGCCATGCTTTCCATAGCTAGCCAGCTCTGACCTTGAACGAGTGTTTTCTTGGAACTTCCAGCACCTGTCTCCCTGGGGCTTCCACCTACAGAATCGTGAACTGTGGGCCTCCTCCTAGAAGGGAAGTCCTCCCTCTTTCCACACTGCCCTGCTGAGGATGAAAGCCAGCCAGGCAGCCACAGGCTGTCCTTCCGGTCAAGCACCTCTGGACCCCTTGCCTTGCTGTCCTTTCCCATCCAGTCACTCTCTCAGATCACCCTGGCTTCCCCAATACTCTCCCTTCCAGGGGACCCCTATAATCAGGGGTATTCAAGGGCTAAAACACTGTCCCAGTCTGAACCTCAGATTTTTCCTCCATCGAAGAGGGGGAAGCCAAAGTCTCCTCTAGTACTGAGCCACCTCCATTCCTGGCACTTGGGCCCCCACAGAGATAGAATATTCTGGGTGTTTAGGGAGAAAGCACAGCCCTCTCCTCCCCAGCTCGCCTGGGTCACATCAGATTCTAGTCAGCCTCTTAGTGGGGGCAGTTCTTGGAGTGTGCCCTAGCCCCAATCTTGCCCCTACCCCCGAACCCCTCCCTTTGGTCACCCATGGTTTGAGGTTGGATGGGATGTGGTATAGAGCAGGAAGCTAAAGTTGGGAGCAGGTGAGAAATGGGGTGCCCTGGGAGAGTCTGGGGAGGAGGGGTGCCCACATCCGGTGTACCAAGACCTTAAATGCCCTCTCCCAGTCTGTCCCATGATGTCCCAGGAGGCGGGCGGGGTGGGGGGGGAGGGAAGAAAGGGACGGGAATTTGAACTTTCCACATCGGTCCGGCGCCCTGGACGATCAGGTTGCAACATGACCTGGGCCCGGGGCCAGAGCATGTGGGCCAAGGTTACATCGCCTCCAGCCAATGGGGTCTCGGCTAGGCTGCCGCGGTTGGGGGTGGGCAACACCCCCGCAATCCCCACCCCAGCTCCGGCTCCTGGTCCTCGAGGGCCGTTCTGTATCCAGTGGTTCTCAGAAGGGGAGGAGGCGCCGCGGAGGAAGAGGAATATTTGCACAGAGAAAAGATCAAGGCCGGCCCATCCCCCTTTCACCTCTATGGTTTTCAGTTGATAATTTATCCCGGCCCCTCCGCTCCTGGGAACTTTGCTCCAGGGCACTGGGCCAGAACCCGGGTTCGCGCCCTCCCCTAGGACACAGGCGTGGGGCTAGGGCCGGGCGCGGTCCTCGCGCTCTGCGACGCGCCGAGCAAGGGTCCCAGGCAGCGTTAGGCGCTCAGCCTCGGGTGGGTGGCGACCGGGGTAGGCGAACCCAGGCCTCCAGGGCACCAACCCCCACGCGGCGTTCTGCACCCCCTGCCGGGCGACCGCTGGGAAACTCTGCCAGCTCCCCCCCCCTCCCCCGTCCGCCCGCGGCGCCCTTCTCTCGCCACCCTGGATCTAGCAGGTCAAGAACAGGTGTCCCGGCAATTGGGGAGTGCAGGGTGGAGGAGAGACTGGGTTTCGAACGGCGTTGGCTATGAGTCCGGACAATCATGGGCGTGAGGAGTGTCGCCAGGGCGCGGGACTGGCGTGGGTCTGGGCCGGGTCTGCTGGGGAGGGAGCGGAGGGCTGAGGTGGTCTGGTGGATTGGCCCCCAGAGTGGAGGGTGGGGATAGCTTAGGGTCCTGGGAGCGCGAAGGATGCCCTGGCATTTCTTTGGGGGCAGAGGAGTCGGGACGGGGAGAGGGGCCCGCGGTGGGCCTATGGCGGTCAAGGTGGAGGGCAGGCGGTCCGCGCCCTAAGGAGGGAGTGAAGGTGGCGAGCAGCGGGAACCTGGAGGTGCGCGCTCCAGGCGGAGGCCGGTGGGCTGGCCCCGGGCCGGAGGACGCTCGGGGCCGGGGCAGGGGGGTGTCCAGGATGTGGTCGGAGTCTCCGAGAGCAGCCAGGGACCAAAGTTTGGGGCCGGGTCGGGTGTCCGGGGCCCCAGCGCGTGGTCCCGCCACGGAGGGTCTAGGCTGTCGGGCCCCGGAGCCGCCCTCACCTGTAGGCCAGGCTCATGCACTCGAAGAGGCGGGTGAGGGTGGGGTCGATGCTGCGCGGCCCGAAGTCTGCGGGCCCCATGGGCCCCTCCTGGTCGCGCCGCCGGGTCAGCGAGTCGCTGTGCGGCGACGACACCATGAAGTGACCGCTGTGGATGACCTGCGAGCGGAGCAGCCCGCCCGCGCTGCGCCGGGTACTCGGGTCCTCCGAGTCTGTGTCTGAGTCCGAGTCTTGGCTGGGGACGACCCGCGGGCCGTGCAAGCCCGCGGCCAGACCCTCCAACGCCCCGGCCATGGCTTTAGTCGCCGCCGCCTCGCCCCGGCTCGGTGGAGCCACCCGCGCGGTTCGCTGGGCTCGACTGGCCTCATTAGCATGGTCCCGCCCCTCCGCCGCCAAGAGGCCGTTCGAGGGGCGGGGCCTCCGGGGCGGGGCGGGCTTAAATTAGCATAATCAGGGTGTTAAATATGAGCGTCGGCATCCGCGAGCTCCTTGCGGGTCTGGAGTTTGGAAGAGGAGGGGTTTCTCATCTCCCCTCCCGCCTTTCCTCTTGTGGTGCCCCCTACTTCGCCCGAAAGGGGTCTCAAGAAGAGTTGACTATCAGTCGTTCACACCTGAGCCTGAAGGCGCCTCAGTGCCTGGGGTTCCTTGCTTCCAGGGACGCCCCGCTGTGAAGCCCCTCACCTAACTACACCCCTCCCTCCCTGCTCTCTTTGATCTCTCGGCTCACATTCACCCCCTCTCAGTCCTGCACACAGCTGGAAGCACCCACCTCTCAGAAGTCTTGTGTGTCCTGGCCCACAGGTAAGTCTCAGCACCCCCAGTTGCCATAATGATCATCACTACACCTGCACAGAGGCCCCAGAGGGTTAATGAGTATGAATCCAGTGCTGATGGCTGACAGCTGGCAAGGTGGAGCCTTGGTCACCCTCCCCTGGACATCCCCCAGGCAGGCCATCTGCTCAGGAGCTCTGGGCACCCCCTCTCCCCCGCCCTGAGGTCCAGCTCCTGTTCCTGATTCCCCTCCTCGCACCCTGAGAACATGAACCAGGGTGTTTGGTCTGAGGCCCTCACAGGGTCACCTCACTGGCACCTATAACAATCCTCCAAGGTGGGATTCTTGCCCCACGGCCGGCGGCGTCACCAGAGTCCACACGAGTGGAGAGACACTTGAGTATCTACAGAGGGCCAGCTGCAGAACCTGGTCTGGAATTCCAGACTTACCATGCAGGGCTATCCCTGGTGGGGGAGGGGAGGGCTAGAGGCCAATGGTAGAGGGTGTGGCCTAGGTGTGGTCACAGGAGGGAAAGATGGGGGTAGTCAGCTGGGGGCAGGAAGCTGGGAAAAGTTTCCCTCAGAGTGCTTTCCTCTTGCCCAGGATCCCGAAATCAAATGGCAGTGCTTCCAGGGTCCCTGTGACCATCTGAGAAGCTGTAATGATGACCCCAGGCAGCTCACAGGCCCGCTTTTCCACCCACCCATCCACCCACGTCCCTTGGCCCAGGTACCCTCTGTCCCTGGCAAACAGTCACCTCTCAGTCCCCGGAGCCTCGGGTGCTCTCCTCCGTTGTCCCCTGCTATTCTCTGCAGGAGGTGCATTCTTTCCGCTCATCTCAGCCAAACTGGGGGGGCCTCAGGGTCCCACCTCAGCCTGCCTCCTCTGGAGAGAGAGCCATTCCTAAGTGGCTCTTTTGGGATCCTTGGCACAGAGACCGACCAACACAGTCGTTACTTATCCCTGATGTGCCTGACTGGCTTTGCCCCTGTCCTGTGGGCCCTGAGGCAGGACTGCTCCTCTAGTGTCTGAACCCCCAAGCTAAGCATGCAGGGACTTGGGGGAACCCATGACACTAAACAGAGCTGGTGGCCACTGTGGGGGAGAGGGGTGGGAAGCAGGGCCTCCTCTCCCTTGGAGACTTCTAGCTTTAGGGACCCACGCACCCCAACAAATCTCTGTCTTATTGGGGTTCTGTCTCTCTACGTGTAAAATGAGGCAGTTGAATTCAGTGATTTCTTAGGAATCTGTAACTGTTAACACCCTTGGTTCTGAGTCTATGTGATCAGCATCCCACCTCACCCCACCATGCTCCCCTTGGCCTCCTGTCCCCAGGATAAAAATCTCAGAATTGTCTCCTGTGGTTCAAGAGACTTTCCTGAGAGTTGGGTCTCAGTAGGGTGGATTATATGTGTCACCCCATTTCCCTTCCTTTCCCCAGACATCAGTTGGCTCTCTCTCAACAAGCATCTGCACCCTATTCTTGCTCTCCTCAGGGCCTGATAATACCCTTGGAGGACTAGTCCTGAAAAGACGATCCCTCTGTGTGTAATTCGAAAGAAAACACTGCGACACTGTATAATAAATGCAAGGAAGTTCACAAATTCTGATTCTTCCATGACGACACCTTCAATTAGAATATCCATTACTAAATTTTTTTTCAAAAAAAAAGAAAAGTTTAAATGCTCCAAGCTTGGGGCACCTGGGTGGCTCAGTGGGTTAAGCATCTACCTTTGGCTCAGGTCATGATCTCAGGGTCCTGGAATCGAGCCCCAGGATCAGGGTCATCATCAGGCTTCCTGTTCAGCAGGGAGTCTGCTTCTCCCTCTCCTTCTCCCCCCATCCTCCCCCCCCCCCCAGCTCACACATGTGTGCGTGCTCGCTCTCTCTCAAATAAATAAATAAAATCTTTTATAAATAAATAAATACTCCAAGCTTGCTGGCACCTTGAATGCATGCTTCATCCGCCTTGTCCAGCCTCCCCCAGTCATCGTTCCTTAACCATACTGAAGTAAGTAATATTACCTCCATTTTACAGTTGAAGAAACAGGCTCAGGGAGGTGAGGCACTTGCTCAAGTTCCCACGGTGGGAAAGGGCAGAGCCAGGCCTGACTCTGAAGTCCAGGCTCCTTCACTTATGAGGCTGCCACTCTCCCTCTTAAATACAATTCTAGCCACAGCCAGCTGGAGAAGTCAAACCAGCTGGCGGCATGGGGGCCCTGCCTGGCATGCCCGGACATGGGCACAGCCTGTTCAGGGTGCCCTTGCCCAGATGACAGTGCAGGCTTATGTGAGCTGCCCTCGCTCACCCTCGTGCTCCCTTTCCTCTCTGGCCTCCGTCACCTGCTATCCAGCGTTCACAGCCTCTCTCTACAGCCAAGTCTTGTTCACAACCCACAGAGACCCCAGGACCAGGTCCGGATTGGTGTGGGAAGCCCTGGCTGGCCAGCAATCCTGCTTGACATCACACCTGCCCTGTGTCCCAGCCTTAGTTCTCGGGATCCCTCCCCTGGGCTGCCCCTCCTCATCGGGAAAATTCGCCCAAACTAGAAGTGCCGCCTCCACATCCAGCATCTTCCTGGAGTTCCCACAACCCTATTCCAACACAACTTTTAATTGCATCTGGCTCTGCCTTCTCAGGGAGGGGTGCACATTCCTCCCTGTCCCACTAGATGGCGAATGGCCTGAACGGGAGAATCATAGTTTATTTCTCTCTATAGACCATTTTCCTCCAAGTGCAAATGTGCAAATGGGTTTTTGTCGAATGGATGAATTTATATTATATCTGTCTACTATGTGTGCTCTGTCTATCCGTCCATCCATCCGTCCATCCATCCGCACACACACACACACACACAGATGACATTTACTAAGTGTATATTATGTGCCTGTTGCAGTGCTAGGTATTTCATTTTTGCAAGAGTTCAAAAATACAGAAAAGCAAAGATTTGGCACTTGTAATACCCAAAGAGATGGAAAGTAGCTTAGCAGCTGCCAGGGGCTGAGAATGGGGGAATGATTGCCAATGGATATGGAGTTTCTTTTTGGGGTGTTGAAAATGTTCTCGAATGAGATAGTGGTGATATTTGCATAATTCTGTGACTATACTAAAAGCCACCGAAAAAGGGTGAGCTGTGTAATAACTGTATTATATCTCAGTAAAATTAGGCACTTTTAGACATCATTCCAATTCCTGGTTGAGCTGTCAATTGTGTGTGGATGTGGATGTGTTAGGATGGTCATGGCCATTTTACAGAAGGGGAGACTGAGGCTCTGTGGGCGATTCAGAGTGCTGTTTTGAGAACTGACTCTAAATGGCTAATGTTGGTGGGGCCTAACCCAACCCGTCCATGGAATCTTCATAACAGCTCCGTGAGCTGTTTCAACTCATTTCAACTCATCTTGTAGACAAGGAACAGGCTTTGCCAAAGGTCACAAGGTAAGAGAGCTGAGATTCACACACAGTCAATCCGATGCCAGCCTGCCCACAAGAACCTACGTTCTCAAATTAGAAGGACTAGCGATCATGCGGGAGAACGTGGTGTCAACAGAATCTCATCCAGGCCGTCGCCAGAGTAACTTGGCACAATCACTTTGGAAAACTATTTGTCAGTACCTGCTAGAGCCGAACATCTGCATCCCTTATAACCCAGCAGGTGTATATGTGTACCAAAGGACATGCACACAACTATTCATACAGCATTATTCTTATCAGCTCTGTACTGGAAACAACCCCAATGTCTGTCACCGGCGAATGGTTACATGCATGGTGGGACAGCCACGCTATGGAATATTAACGCAGCAGTGGGAATGAACCCCCTACAACCGAATGCAAGCATATGGATGCATCTCACTGATCATACGTTGACCAAAGAAACCTGACATGGAAGTGTATGCACTGTAAGGCTTCATTTTTTTTTTTATTTTTAAAAGATTTGTATTTTATTTATTTGTCAGAGAGAGAGAGCACACAAACAGGGGGAGCAGCAGGCAGAGGGAGAAGCAGACTCCCTGCTGACCAAGGAGCCCGATGCAGAACTCGATCCCAGGACCCTGGGATCATGACCCGAGCCGAAGGCAGACTCTTAACCGACTGAACCACCCAGGTATCCCTGTAAAGCTTCATTTATATAAAGCTCCAAAACAAGCTAATCTGTGGTTTATCAGTCAGGGGAGTGTTTAGCTTAGAGGTGACAGGAGGGATCAAGAAGGGGCTTCCTGGGGTGCTGCTAACATTGTCTTTCTGTATCTGTGTCCCGGATACATGGGTGCATTTTTGGTGAATATTCATCAAGCTGGATACTTATGCTGTGTGCACTTGTTATTTTTATTTTTTAAAAAGATTTTATTTACTTATTTGAGAGAGAGAGTGAGGGAGAAAGAGAGAGCATGAGCAGGGGAGGGGCAGAGGGAGAGGGAGAAGCCGACTTCCCGCTGAGCTGGGAGCCCGACGCGGGACTCAATCCCAGGACCCCAGGATCATGACCTGAACCAAAAGCAGACACTTAACCAACTGAGCGACCCAGGCGCCCTTGATGTGTGCACTTTTTTTTAGGTATGTTAGATTTAAAAGGTTTTGAAAAGAGAAACCAAGTTT